AAGAGGGAGAAGGGGGAAGGAGATGAGAAGAAAATATCCTCTCATGCATTACAGCCGGCCTCTCGAAACGGTGAGCCATGCAGACCCAGCTTTTCTTCGTCTCTCAGATTGCTGGCAACTGCGCCACACGAAATCATCCTCCCGCTTCATTCGTCCTCCGTCCAACACTTGGCACAACACTCCGTCCCCCTTCATTGGCCACTTCGCTGAACGCTACCTGCCCATTGGCTTTTGACACCATCTTTTTCCTTTCAAATATTCCTCTCCTTCTCTTCAGCGATCAATCAACCTGCATAATATCATATTATGACAACATTTTTTTCGGTTCTCCCAAAATTTGCTAGTACAGGGGGGGGTCGCTCAATAGTGCCTACTTTAGTAGTGCTTCCCTCTATATGGTGCTATGGCTCACCCTCTGGCACAGGTTATCATAAGCTCACACGTGTATCATCCGGCATGGTTCAGTACTCAAAGGATGAAGTTATTTAGTTGTGTTATGCGGGCTTTGTTGTGTTTGTGTTAGCAGTGTGCTTTGTCCCCAAATATATGTATTTGAGCCTCCTTTATATAGTGCCATCCCCCCAATAGTGCCATAGCTAGAGGTATGTCACGCTATAGCACTATATCGTAGGAGGCACTGTACCAATTTTCACCCATATCCCCTTTTTTCCGACTTTTCATTTTGTTTCGCACCCCTCTCCCCGTCACCATTCTTCCTCTGGCACACAGTCAGCCGGCCCTCCACCAGACCCCCAACTTCATCAACTGCCCTCTGATCCTGATCAGGGGCAGAGTTCCGAGGAAGCCTTGGTTCGCTCCGCTCACGTTCCACCCATCCTGCTCAGAGCCCCCGCGAAAGCCCTCACTTTGCCTCAACGGCGCGCTGCGGCAAGCCCCGCATCTTGAACCCATCATCATGAACATATTCCGACTCGGCGGCGACATGCTGCATGTTGTCTCCATCTTCCTGCTTCTTCTCAAGATCCAAACCTCTCATTCCTGTGCAGGTCTCTCTCTCAAGACCCAAATTCTCTACATGGTCGTCTTCAGCACCCGCTATCTCGATCTCTTCTTCACAAAACCCTGGCATTCCGCTTTGACTTTCTACAACACCATCATGAAGATCCTCTTTCTCTCCTCGTCTGCATACACCATTTATCTCATGCAGAAGCGCTACAAACACACTTACGATAAGGTTCACGACACGTTCCGAATTCAATATCTCATCGCCGCTGCCGCCGTGCTTGCGCTCATCTTCCATCTTCGTCTCACTGTGTTTGAGATCCTTTGGGCCTTTTCTGTATTCTTGGAATCTGTCGCCATCCTTCCGCAGCTTTTCTTGCTACAGGAAACCGGCGAGGTCGAGAATATCACATCGCATTACATCTTTTGTCTTGGCGGGTATCGGACACTCTACATTTTCAACTGGGTGTGGAGGTACTTCACAGAGCATCGTAGAAACCAGTGGCTGGCCTGGGGTTGTGGCACTGTTCAGACTCTCATTTACGCCGACTTCTTCTATTATTACATCTTAAGTCGGAAGCAGGGAAAGAAGCTCCGTTTGCCTCCATAAGCTCAAATTACCCACATCGGTTTTTGGGTTTGTAAACAAACAAACATTCCTGTACACATCTGTTTAACTGTTGTAATGGTGCGCGACAACATCCAGTACTTCCTCCAAGTACTTCCGTGCATCCCCACTCCCGCTCGACGCCAATAGGGTTCTCTTCTCTTCCTCCCCAATCGTTGTCGCAAATCCTACGAGCATCTTCATTCGCCCGATCGTCTTCTTGTGGCACTTTGGACTCGAGTCATCGTCAATCCTGCCACCGGCGTCAAAGTAGCGCTTGTAAAACTCCGTTTCCATTTCGAAACTCCTCGTTAGTAACCGTCCAGCTGAGCCTGCCCCCGTCGTAGGGTCACTTCGACGTGCCAATGCTTCCCGTATCTCCCAGAATATCCACGGATTCTTCACGGCCCCTCGTCCAACCATCACATGATCACACCCCGTGCTTTCAAGCATGAGAATCGCATCTTCGGCGCTTGTCACATCTCCATTCCCCACGACTTCCACAACATTCCCACAAATCTCCTTTGCTCTTCGAATGAAATCCCAGTCTGCCCTTCCCGCGTACCCCTGCACTTTTGTTCTAGGATGCAACGTGATCATCGTCGCACCTCCCGCCGCTGCAGCCCGTATATTTTCCTCAAACAAGTCAGTTGAGTCAAATCCGCTTCTCATTTTTACGCTTATGCGACAGTCCGGCAGTCCTTCCACCGCGTCCACCATAGCCCTTACCACCTCGAAAACCCCATCTGGCTTCTTCAACAAGCTCGCCCCTGCTCCGCGCCCTGTGACCTTTTTAGACGGACAGCCGCAATTCAGGTCCACTCTCATCGCGCCGAATTCAGTCGCCAACTCATGCGCCGCCACGCCCATGGCGACGGGATCGCCACCCATGATTTGGGCTGCAATGGGGATGTCTCCCATTTCATTCGCGTCGTACCTGTTACGTATGCATCCGCGCACGGCCTGGCGAAGAGGCGAGCAAATTCGGATAAACTCATGCACCGCCTCATCCATTCCGCCTATCGTGCCTATCGCAGCCCGGAACTGCTTGTCCGCTAGAACCTCCATTGGGGCTAGAATTAACCGAGTTTGCGCAAAACGACCTGTTTGAGACGTCACAAGCCTTGCCTTGTCTGATTGCAGCACACACGTGCATGGCCCTGATGGTGAATTTCGACGTCTTGACGACGACTTCAAATCGTTAGTGCAACGCAAAGCGGGAGACGTGGACCATCCGAAACACAGTACCACCATTTCTAGGACATGAATATGCCTGTGTTGATAGGGCGTTGAGAGAAGGGTATATGACGACTCTACACCACGCAAGCGCACTGCTCGCAACTGCGTCAATTCCTTCCGTTCAAAAGACTCCACATCTGTTTCCCAATTATAGGAGCACAGAGCAGTGGCCAAGATATAGACTACACACTATTGACCTCCGAGATTTCGGTTTCTCAACACCGTTCTGCACAATCCGAGACTCTATTTCCCGACTTATCATACTTAAAAATATTGAAGGCCCAAAGAGCTTGCTCTATAGCGTGTATGCTTTATTCAATGACTATTGTTGCGAATGCTAGCTCATATCGACGGATATCTCTAGTGTCTAGTGACCTAAAAATTCCACTCAATTGAGGTGGTAAATTTCCTCAACTGAGGTGATAGCTGATGATGTTTATTCATGCTCCTCTAGAAGATGAGTAATAAAGCAGTCTCTCTCTGTCGCTGGACGGTATACCCACACTTGTTCACGGTTACTATCTGAGCAAGATGAACAAACATGTGTAGTCTTGTTGACCTTACACACTGTGTCGGGTGGCACCCGACAATTATTCTGCGCTGCGTACTTAGTTTCCACCCCATCCTGTTTTCGCTTCTTCTTCGTCGGGGTCAGATGAATTCCAACGCCGCTTGTACGCTTGACAGGGGTAACAGACTCTACTTCACTGCTGACGTGTCGTGAACGACCCCCGACGACATCGTAAGAATTAAAAATAAGTTCGCTATCCAGGTCTTCGTAAAACTCATGCTGCTTCAACCTCTTCCGATTCCCCCATTCACCCTCATATAGTCTCTACGCATCCACGATAACGATTCCCAGTACACTGTTATTAACCCTCACAGACCAGTCCAACGTCCGCAATTTTCTTTCAAACATCAAGTCATCCTGTCTACATCGGTTATGTTGATCGATAGAAGCGCAAGAGCTATAATAATTCTCAACAACCTCAGGCTGGTCTATTTCAAGCTGGACACGCTCAGGACCATGATCCATCTGACGCCAACGCGTGCGGGAATATGGCGTTCCAATCAAGCTTGATCCTGTGTTCGCAACAAAATAGCGACGCTCACGATCTACCCAGACCAATTCCATAAGATCCGGAACCCCATCACCATTCTTGCGTATGACAAAATGCCACTTGCCTCTCTGCGTGAACTCAACAGACGACAAATATTGCAAAGGAAACCGAGTCGTAGAAGTCTTGACACCCCCAATAAAGCGTAATCCAATCTTCACCATTTCGTCTGCGGCCTCCACACTTGTGAAGTATGAGTCAGCACACACAATTCGATTCGTCCCAGCCCACGGCCCCACAGTACGACGGAGTACGTCCGTACCGTGTAACATATCTCCCTCATATGTCCTTGTAGCCTGGTCCTGTGCTGTTGATACCAGTTCCAAATGCAACATTATTCCACTTCTACCACACGCGCTGTCCTGAATTTCACATCCGTTCTCAGGCTTGCGATCAATTTCCATATAATTTGGCAGCCCTATATCTATCCAATTTCCCCCGAGTCCATACCATCTGGAAATGGACTCATCAACGCAGAGAATCTCGGATGGCGTAACGTTTTGAATTGGATGCTTTGTTAAAAGCGTCAACAAAGTCTTGCACTAATGCCCATCTGTACCGAACGGAACTCATGATACCTTGTTTCAGGGGCTGTTTGCTGTAATTCGCATGTGTCCAGAGCGTCAGGAAGCGGTCACGACTCATTCCCGTTCTCTCCCCAAAATTCGGAGGAGGTAACAGGGCGTTGCGGCCGGTCTTCTTCCCCAAGTCCCGCTTCTTCCCGAATTCGAATCGTGTTATCAGAATGAGTATTCCGAAAAACTTTAACATCTCACCAGCTGTTGTTACCTGCTTTTGGCATTCTCGAGGCTTCCATTTGTCGATATGACAATTTGTGGCAAGTTCTCCATGGGAAACATGCACAAAAAATAGTCTAACAAGTTGCGTTTGGATGTCAATCCATTCTCGCTTATGAAATCTCCGCTGTAGGATTTAACCTTCCATGGACGGCTTGGCACGCGCCCACCTATGGGGACCGTGACTTCTTGAGGATACCATTGTGTCCCATGTGCTGTAATAACTGTGGTACAACTCCACACCGCGACCCCCGGCGGGAAATGAGAACCGCCGAGACGGGCGGTTACTACTGTAGTAATCGTGCACGCGCCCTCTGCGAGCACAGTAGTACCTCCACGGCGTACACGTGACACAACCGTTGGCGCCGGTCGTGGCCACGGGCACACGTGTGCGACCCATCCGGTAAGTAATTAGCAATTAGTGGTTAATGGCACAAATTAGCCAATTTAGTACAGTAGCTGGTATACAGTATGTAACAGCTACTGTAGCGGGACAGGTGTCCTGGCGTCCCACTTAGGGGTTAAGACCAGGGGCACCTGCCCCGTTCCAGTAAACGGGGGCAGACTCGCCTCCCTTCCCTTTACGGCTTTTTGCTAACTCCGTCCGGTTTTACCTCTAAGTCTCAGGCTTCTAACCCGTGACCGGCCGTCCGGATCTAACACCACCGACCGGCTGCGCGTCACCGGCCACGTGAGCCTTCCCTCTTTTCGAGTCCTTCCGTACGGTTTGCGCTCGCGTGGGTTACCCAGCGGCGCGCGCTCCCTTACCTCTAACCCCCCTCGTTCCGAGTGGTCGGGACGAAGGTAGTTATACCACATTTTGGTACTCTTGTGGAGGGGATAACTACAGAGGTTGAGCCCGCACTGGATCGCCAGCGCGAGCCACTACCGATCGGATTGAAAGAGGTCGAAAATCACCGCGTCGATCGCCAGTGATCATCGACGATGAACCGTGCGGATCCCGCCGGAGAAGATACCGCCTCCGGGCGAGCAAGTACCCGCAGTGGCAGAGGCGCACAGCGCCCCCGGATCGACAATCCGGAAGCCCTGCTACGCCCGCCGTCTACCAGGGGCCAGAAGACCCCTTCCGTTTCGGACACCACCGCCGGGCTACCGGCTGGTGGGGGGAACCGCGTACAAGTACTGTACGACGCGTTAATCCCGCGACTACAAACCTGGATGGAGGATTTCCTCGCTGAGGAACTACCTCAGGTCGTCCAGGTTTGCCTCGACCGAACGGCACCAAGACTGGTGGCGGAGCATGCGGACACCGCGCTCCGCGCCCTGCTGGACGAGAAGATCGCCCCCCTCGTACGCGACGAGGTGGTGGCAGCGCTCGCCGCGGAGGAGGACGAATCTCCGACCGCATTGGCTCTAAAGGGAGCTATTGGCTCCGCCGTGGCCATTCGTCTGGCCACGACATTCACCGAAACGGGAGGCGCGGTACCGCCGCCGGCGCCGCGCCGTGAAACCGTTCCGGGCTCAAGCTTTAATATCGCTGATCCGATCGGCGCCGTACCCGGGATTGATAGGATGGACCCTCACCCGGAGGGCAGAGCCATCTATCTCCCAACCGTTCACGGTGCTACAGGGAGGACCACAGAAAATGTCCTCCCCATACTCGCCGGTACGGGCGACCCCTGTGGTACAACCGTAGGGACGCTAAACCGTAAACGGAAAAGGACAGGCTGTACCTAAAATGAGGGAGCTTGGGGGACCGCTACACTGGAGCGTCAGGTAGAATAATCCGGAACGGTAGGAAGCACAGGACAAGGGAGGTACACCGCACTGGACACGGGCAGTCGTACTGGGGTGTAGAGCAGTACGACCGGTGGCGAGCTGGAAACCTGAGGGACTTACTTAACCGTACGGTAAAGGACTAGGGTAGGAAGTAAGGGGAGGC